ATCATCATCATCATCATCATCATCATCATCATCATCATCATCATCATCATCATGTTTTAAAGTAGACAAAAATATACTTGAGACTTAAATAGAGTTGTTGTGGCTATACGAACATCTGATTAAACGTGGTGATGATGATGATGATGGTGGTGATGATGATGATGATGATGATGATGATGATGATGATGATGATGATGCTGATGATGATGATGATGATGATGATGATGATGATGATGATGATGATTGACAACACACTGTTCTCCAAGGACCTGGACTACAAACTGCTCCCCAAGGACCTGGATATCTAAGTTCTTCCGTAGGACATGGACAGCAAACCGCTCCACAAGTTCAAGGATATATAAGTTCTTCCGTAGGACATGGACAGCAAACCGCTCCAAAAGTTCAAGGATATCTAAGTTCTTCCGTAGTACATAGACAGCAAACCGCTCCACAAGGACCTGGATATATAAGTTCTTCCGTAGGACATGGACAGCAAACCGCTTCACAAGGACCTGGACAGCAAACTGCTCCACAAGTACAAGGACATCTAAGTTCTTCCTCAGGGCATGGGCGCCGATCGTCCGCAGCATCAGACCGCCGCTCAGCATTACCGAGAAATGAACATGCCTACCGGTACGTAGATATTACAGTCCGTTTATGTTTTGACCAAATCTGGAATATGCAAGAGAAGAGAAGAAAAGAGAGGAAAAGAGAAGAAAAGAGAAGGAAAGGGAAGAGAAGAGAAGAGAAGAAAAGAGAAGGGACGAGAAGGGAAGAGAAGAGAAGAGAAGGGAAGAGAAGAGAAGAGAAGAGAAGGGAAGAGAAGGGAAGAGAAGAGAAGAGAAGAGAAGAGAAGAGAAGGGAAAAGAAGAGAAGAGAAGAGAAGAGAAGAGAAGAGAAAAAAAAGAGAAGGAAAGGGAAGAGGAGAGAAGAGAAGAGAAGAGAAGAGAAGAGAAAAAAAGAGAAGGAAAGGGAAGAGAAGAGAAGAGAAGAGAAGAGAAGAGAAGAGAAGAGAAGAGAAGAGAAGAGAAGAGAAAAGAAGAGAAGAGAAGAGAAGAGAAGAGAAGGGAAGAGAAGGGAAGAGAAGAGAAGAGAAGAGAAGAAAAGAGAAGAGAAGAGAAGAGAAGAGAAGAGAAGAGAAGAGAAAGAAGAAAAGAGAAGAGAAGAGAAGAGAAGAGAAGAGAAGAGAAAAGAAGAAAAGAGAAGAGAAGAGAAGAAAAGAGAAGAGAAAAGAAGAAAAAAGAAGAGAAGAGAAGAGAAGAGAAGGGAAGGGAAAAGAAGAGAAGAGAAGGGAAGGGAAGGGAAGAGAAGAGAAAAGAAGAAAAGAGAAGAGAAAAGAAGAAAAGAGAAGAGAAGAGAAGAGAAGAGAAGAGAAGAGAAAAGAAGAAAAGAGAAGGGAAGAGAAGAGAAGAGAAAAGAAGATGATACTTTATTGTCCCAGTGGGAACATCAGATATGTAGGGGGTGGCTGCTTCCACTTTGCCCGTCATGGACATACAATAGCTGAGAGGCTACACATTCCCACAGGGAGAAAGAGGGACTATAAAACGGGGAAATGGTATATGTTTAATGCCTTTATCAACACTATTAGGTTATTTATTAGGCGGAGCCTCCGAGTTTAACGTCCGTCTCCGAAAGGACCGAGCCAAGTGAGAAATTCGTGTAAAGAGCCTTTCCCAAGGACACAACGTCGGGTCGAGCTGACGCTCAAACCACTGAGGAACTATACGAGTAAAATATTAATAAATGGCTTGTTCTCTTTCGCCTGACTGCGGTTATAACAAGATACGGTGAAATCGCTCTGTTTAAACTCATAACTTTTCATACAAAAGTTGGATATTCTACAGAATCTAAAAAGCCCATTCATAAAAGTTACAGTGTAAACTTTAGTTTCAACACATATTATTCTTTGATGTCAGCCTAAGGCGGATAAAAAATAATTGGGGATTTACAGTACACACGAAAGAGGCTATACATGCAGACTTCAACATAAGCTAAGGACCACCTTGACAAACAGCCTGGATTTCCACAAATCCGAAAAAAGACAGCAAGGAATGTTTAAAATTTATTGCTCTGAAAGTGATAATGGGTTAACAATGCAGAGCTTCCTAAAGGTGCAAAACCCCAACGTGCAGCACGGAAATCCTCGGGGAATTTTAGCTAAATTTGCAAGTAGCCCTTAACTTATGTTGAAGTCTGTAATGATAAATATTATGCATTAAGCAGTAGAGTTGATGTCAGTGATATCCCCCACGTAAACAAACGGGGGCTGCTGCGTGTGTCCACTCTGGGACGCTGAACCTCTAGGACAACACATGCGAGGTTTAACCGACAGGTGAGTATTTTTCGAGCGGTTTTAGTGGCCGTACGCACCAAACTTCTCCTATACGTCGAGCAATGCCCACTTTTGGTGTAGGTCAAGATTTCTGGAAACTCCCGAAATCTGGGTTGGCCCGCTTGTCATTAAAAGAGACAAAACAATTCCAAATAAGATAGGACACCCCCCCCC